AGTACTTCGAGGAGCGTTTATACGAACGTTCTACTTAGCTAGGTACCTAGCTATCGTAGCTAGGCTTACTCTTATACTAGTACTCGCTTTAAGGTCCTCTTAAATCGTCTTATAAGGTACTCGCTAGGCTATTCGTTCTTCGATCTAGTTACGCTAGTTTTCGAGTCTAAGGGACGTAGGTATAATAATAGTACACTAGACGATATATATAGTATTTCAAGGTATTTCAGTAGAAGGAATAAAGGTATTAGGACTAAAGGAAACGGAGAAAGAGTAGTAGAAGGTAGGTAAGTGCTCGCTTAGCTGAGGTTAAGTAGGTTAAGAGTTTGTTAAGTCTGGCCGACCCTACAGGACAGGACTACACCGATTAAAATTCGTGAAGGCGACCACATCATCGCACAGCAAAGTACAGGAATGATTGGCACGCTGGAGAATGGTGCTGGCAACGATACCGGTCGTAGTGTGATTGAAGGCTCTAGAGGCGTCGTCCTGCGTCCTAACGAAGGGCGAACGATGTGGAAAATCATTGGGGTGGTCAAGTTTGGAGTCTATCCCAACTTGAAGCTTTCTGAGGAGGAAGACGACAATGGTGGATATCCGATAGGGTTTCTTATCCAATGAACCGGTTCAGAACACTCTTTGCCCGTATGAGAGGTTCGGCGTAATGGAGGACTTGCTCGGGGATGCAAAGATCTCGGGTAGGGAGCTTGAGTTGTATGGCCGACGAGGATGAACGAGACATGATGCTGAGAATGCTCAAGGTCTCCTTGGGTTGACATCTCAGCGCAAGGCGGCTCTGATCATCGCCATGTATCCAGGATCAGATATTGTGTTACTCAACTCCCCTCGTCCATCTGCTCTTGAGAAATGTATTTTGCTCACGGTTCTTGCTGTGTGCTCGGTCCATACTTGAAAGCAAGTCGACATATCAAAGCGACATCTTCACCCGTCCGCCTCAAAGGCAGTCATTGCTAGCTCGCATTCGATCAAGCAAGAGCCGTCAGTCCGCATGTCATATGGAGAGGATTATTGCAGTCGAAGATGTCTACAGAGTCTTGATCACTGATTCGGCTTCGTAGCCTTGTGATGGGAAGCAAGAACTTTTGTAGAGTTGTTGGGTTGTAATCCTCTGCTCCGCCTTCAGCGACGCCTTCAGCGTGAAGAACGTGCATAGTGACGCCGTGAGGCATCAGGTTCAAGCAGCTATGAGATGTTGTTGAAACCTCAGTCTCTTCCAAACGAACTGTGCATCGGTGCCCGACGCTGCGGCTGTAGGACGTTTGGGAAGAGCAGACGCTCGGATTCGACTCGACCAGAGCCTGATGCGTTGATGATGCGTTGACGGGGCAGAAGCCGAAGCTAGTAACGATTGACTGCAAGACCTTGTTTGCAGCAGCTAACTTGCGAATCCCAGGGACTGGGAGACCTTGCGTGGCTCATATCAACCGGTGTGCCATTCGTACAGGCAAGCTTGGTTGCGACTAGTGCATACACGGCACTGGAGTTGCAGATTTGAAGCAGATTTGAGGAGATCTGATGGGAGTAAAAGCTGAAGTAGACAGGACCAAGACCTCGGTCAACAGGATCATCAACGTGATCTTTGAGCCCTGAAGCAGCTGAGGTAGCGCAAGGGCGGTGTTCGACTCGCTGAGTTCTCAAACAACGGCAGCCACTGGTGCGTGGAAATTCAGCAGGTGTGGTGTGAGGCATATCCTGACACCGAGCAGAAAGGAAGGTCTGCGTAGGATGGGAAGATGGCCAAAGAGAGGATTTCGATATGTTCATCAATGCCCTAGGAAGTTTGACCTATAACCCAAGAGAGTGCAGGTACCTTTGAGAACATCTTCACAATCACCTCCGATGAACGAACACGAGCACTGAGAGCATACTGGCGACTCCTTTCTGCAAGCACTTATGGTTACTTCACGAACGAATCACCAATGCTCAGCGACTGATCCCATCGAGGTGCTGTTTCGTTTTGAAAAGGCTTTGGGCGGCATCCAACAATCATTCCAGGTCTCCCTTGAAGTGGTCTTGTTGTCCTTGAACTTGCCAAGGGCTGGCTCATAGCCCGTCTACCTGCAGTTCGTCTCGCTTGATACTGCGTATGGAAGGTATGATATCTCTCAGCCGCCCAAGTTCGAAGACCCTGGCTTGGAATGATCCATTCGCGGCAAAGGTGATTCGTGTCCTGTTATGCCAGCATTTTCATCTGTGGAAATTGAGCCGGTCGAGACGATATTCACGCACTGGGAATATCGGTACCAGCTCCATCTAAGCTCGATAGAAATGCAGAGTGCTGAAAAGGTGTGCTTATCGCAGAACCAGACATCAGCCCCGCGGGAGAGACATCGAATCGACAACAGCACTCTCATTTTTATCACTTCCGGTAGAGTCACTCTTGGAGTGCTGGTTCATGATGTACTTCAGGCGGAAGAAGACGACTTGGATGGCTCGAAATTCTGTTGGGCTCTAAAGGCTTCTCACTCTTCGAATCTGCACCCAAGGCTTCCCACAGCCTCTGTTGAGCTCCTGTTCGTACTATTCCATAGATTGGATCTTTCCCACTGCTTTCACCGTTATCGTCCTAATGGTGAGCAACCGCTAGACGTCTGAAGAACACTTGACGATACGACAGCAGAGGATGTAGACAGCGATGCAGCATCACAGCAACTCGGATACGTCAGAGGGTCCATGACAGAAACGGTGATGGGCGCGGTGGCCTGTGTTGTGATTTTCTTCTTCCTCCACTTCTGCCACGGCATGCTCATTGCACACGCCGCTAGTCCTGGGCCCCGACTGCACGCCACGATCATTTCCCCCTCCCGCCGAGTGCACATTCCCTCCTTCGCGACATCGTCTGGACAACATCAAATACAACGCCAATTCGCCCAGACACGACTAGACCCATCCATAAACGCCATGTTGAAGCGAGCCGACAAAGAGTTTGAACGCAAGTATCGACGCTGCCTTGCTCTTGGTCGACGATATCTCAGGGGCCGGCCGAGCAATATCATCGGCCATTGCGAATCCCAAGCTGCGACTGTGAAGAACGGTGGGAGGAGACTGCCATCGCACACGGTCGTAAGCGGTCACTGCCGAGAGTCCTGTGGTTGAAGTCTGAGATTCTTGGGCATTCGCCACAAATGCGAGTATCGAAAAGCTTCCATTCAGGTTGGGCAAGGGAGCGACGCCAGCCGGCGCTGATCGTATCATCCCAGCGAGAGTGCGGTCTGGGCGTAACCCCTGTTTTAAGGGCACGAGGCTTAAGCATGCCAGATTTTGCCCTGAAGCCACATACACGAGCACTGCTGGCTCGGATTGTGATCTTATGCGATGGAAACAGCAGACTCGTCTTTCAACATTCACCGTTACTTCTACGACTCTCAACGTCATCGTCAGAATTCAAATCTTCATTGGAATCTGCGGCGTTTCGAACTTGCCCATGAGACTGGCGAGACCCTTTTCACTTAATGTTAGAGATGGTCTTCCTGGACTATGAGTCACGTCTTCTCTTCTTACCGTCTTGCCAATTGTGCTTTGCGAATCAGCGAGGTCCATCTTTGATCGAACCTTCTGCTGAGAACGTCCTTTAGTCCTGTGCAGAGCGAAGCAGGCTGAAAGCAAGCTGTCGGCTACTTCACGGCATGGCCTGACGCTGAGGTGATTTGGGCTTCTCCATCATCATCGCCTGTTCATTGACGAGCCCTTCATTCTGACAGTCTTTGTCTCCAAGTTTGTCTGAGCACATGGAACCCGTCGTGGAGGAAATAGATGATCGGCTGTGGGAGAATTCCTCATCTCACGGCCAAGAGGCACTTCGTCCCTGCGGAGCTGCTCGTTGGATGTCTCACCATATCTTATGCCGCCGCACAAGTCCAGTTGCAGTGTGGTATGAAATCATTCTGATTTGCTGTATGTCAAAGATTGTGCGGTCCTCCTGCCGAAGCCGTGCTGGAGCACCTCGACGTAGAGAATTCAGTCATCTCGGGCTGCAGAGTCCACCCTCAATCCACGCCAGCTCTCCAATCCAACTCGAGGAGTTGCTTTTTAAGGGACGTCATACCTGCGGACGACCTCAATGGCACACTGCAGCAACAGCTGGTTACTGTCAGACGGGAAAATCGACGAACGCAGTGACTACGAAGGTCCATCAGGATTCCCTCACGATCTACGACTAGGTCATCGTTCGTTGACATTTTCGATCTCAGAGCATTCTCAATGCACCGGCAGCACTGTCGACAAGATGAACATGGAGCAGACTATTGCTATCCTTCGTTTGGCAATGCTGTCTGATAGTACTTTTGGTGAGCTCCATGGCGTTTGGTCAAACGTTCGTCGAGATATTTCCACTCAAATGGAACGGTGTGTGGAGCTACGGAAAGGTGCCAGTCTTCGGTCACGTTGCCATCAGATATTTTGTTCGAGATCATGATAGAGCAGGAGGAGACACTCATGCACAGGGGTGCAGCGGAGTTTGTAATTGTACAATCGCCGTACTCACCTTCCAATCCTTTTGGTGACCATGATCTTACCGCGAAATTAGGTATTGAGGCATTAGCCTTCTTATGTTTTGTATCTGAAGGAGCAGACTTCCGAGAAATTCACACAAGACCCTCGCATTATATATCCTCTTGCAACGAAAATGCGTCGCAGACTGTTCGCTCTTCGCAGCTACGGATTGCCATCTCATGTTGCCCATCCAAAGTGACCGACGATGGTGGCACCCTCAAGAGATTTGATCAAAATTCAATCTAGGCGTGGCTTGGTCTCGTTTGGCAATTTCGGCGCACGACGTTGCTCCTGCTGCTGATGTGCAACATTGCACTGTTCAAGCCAACGCAAGAAACCAGCGGCGACAATCTCTGGATCCCGAGAGAGCGAACTTTTCAAGGCGTTGCCCTTAGCTACCACCTCCCAGCATCGAAGGCTTGCGGTCAAGTTGGATCAAGAGCATGCCTAACCCAAAGTGCTAGAAGAGAAACAAAAGCGAAGCGCCTACCTAAAATCAGAAAAACCTCCAACTATCTGACCAAAACCCAGCCTAAACCTGAACTCCTTCTCCTCCTGCCCATCCCGCAGCTCACCAATCCGTCTTGGTACCGCATTGCGTACATCAAGAAGCCCGAGACAGCACCACGAGCGAGATCTGGCAATGGGTATCAAGACCAAAACCCAGACCCATCGAAAATGTGCATGCTGGTGCTTGGGGCAGACTTCTGCGCTGGTGCGATGATGCTTCAGGGCAGCTGAACTACGGGTTCGTTGATGATGCAGGCACGAGAGGATTCGGCAAGGAAAGAAATATCGAGCAGGTCGAAAGGAGAAAGATAATTCTCCATGGATGCGTACAGTTGAGCTGTCGGCTGGCAGCTGGCACCGCGCAAGCGGTTTTGAATCCACGTACGGGTAAACAACATCGACTCCATGTCCGAGGCCAGCTCTGATGGGTTCAGATCAGACCTTTTTATGAATAAAACTGTGAAACCTCACTCTTCGAGGAGAATCGCCTCGAGTTTCGACCACAAGACATACGAATTTGATCTTGATTGCTTGCTTGACACGCGATTGGCTGTAGAGAGATGTGGTGATGTGCGCAGAGATTTGGAAATATGAAACCTCGTCAAGTAGAGGTATCATCCTCTGTTTCTCCGGAATGTTGGTCTCTCGCACTCTGTCACCAGCATATGTACGTCCACCCTCGACGCAAAACCCCCAAACCCTCATCACCACCAGTCCTCACAGCGACCAACCCTCAACGCCCTCCACGTATACCTCGAACCCCAGACACATATGCTTCTACATTTCCAGCTCGTCTCCCAACCCAACTATGACCATCCCAAGCGCTGGCCACCCCACCCGCAACTCTCCCTTCCATCCATGGAAGAACCCCACAACCCACCCTCCTCATCCCCAACCTGAAGGATCGACGTGCTCCTCCCCCATGAACAGAACTCTCGCATCCCCCTATCTGCTCTGCTCCACCCTCTCTGCCCGGCTCTCCAACCTCCACGTTCGCTCTTCATTCGCTTTGCTCATAGTGATTTCATGTACCACGGTTGTGCGGCCTGTGAAGGACTGGCGGTTGATCTGGCTGGTGGTAGTTTTGAATGTTAGACGGGGTCGTGGTTAGGCTTTGGTATGGGCTTGGAGTTGGGGATGGGGTTGAGATGGGGACTGGAGTGCGCTTTGGCATTGGCTTTGGATTGGCTGTGCAGGTGGTGGAGTTTTGGCTTTGGGGAATTGGGCAGCGGGAGAGGGTGTGGACGAAATTCTTGGGGTGGGCTTGCGAGTTTGGTGATCTCTGAGCTGTGGGTATATCCACTCTCAGCGCTGATGGAGGCATTCCTTTCTTTCAGTACCTAAGTTTGGCGCAGAGTGACTTCAAGTTTTCTTCCAGAGCAGTGATGAACACGAATCATCGACAGACTGGGGACATCTGCAGAAATGATGATAAGGGATCGAGGCTCAGTACTGGTCCATGTCCGGATGAGGGACTGTCTTGGTCTTTGTGTCAATCAGACTCTTGCACTCCCGTCGATTGCCCTACCAAGACGTTGGGTTTGCGGATGATGGAAGGTTGAAGACGTTCGACAGGAGACGTCTCAGATCGATGAAGGATCAACAAACCACAAAGACGATCGGCATCGATGTCTTGGGTATCAGCTCGAAAAGGAACGAGTGCAGGATTTGCAGGTGGTAGAAGACGTCAGTTTCGTCGAACAAGCTCCACAACACCTCGCCATTTGTAGTATTGGTGTTGGTTGGGAGAGGCAGGAGGGCGGATGTAGAGATGGCACAGTCGCGGATGGGGCGGGACTCTGTGGTGTGGTTGGAATAGTCATCTTGTTCGTGCATTATCTGAAATCTCATGAAGCTACATCTGCGGAAGCCGATTTTCTACGCTGACAATGACGATAGCTCAGCAGAGGCTTTGTCAAATTCAGTGTCCAAGTTCGCATTCATCGTGCGTGCTGCTTCGATCGAACAGCGAAGGATCCTTCGCAGCTGCATAGTCTTCTCGCGCTCATGCTCCCATCTGTCAAGCTTTATCTTATCGAAATCCCCGAATGGCTGCGATGATAGCTCATCCAACACCAATCTCTCCTCCGCATCAAGAGACTGTATTCTCGATATGGCTGCAACAATCTTGTCTTCACGATGCTGGTGCCGCTCCAAGTTCTCGTCTAGGCGCCTGAACAAAAGTTCGACGATCCCGCAAGTGTACCGTACGACCTGTTCTCGGCCCTTGAAGTCTTGCAAGGCGCGTTTCAACTCTTTGTATTGGCGCTTGGCCAGCTTCACGTTGTTCTTCAGCCTGGCGAGGTGACTCGACGCCGTCTGCTCGTCTGTCGGCGGCGTTGCTTCGCTCGGCACAGGACACCTGAGATCAGCTGGCAGATCAGAGATTGCGGCCGGCGGGGCGGTTCGAGCAGCGATAACAGAGCCGAGAAGAGTTCGAGCAACCGCGTCGTCAATGCGTTGTAAAGAAAGGCCAGTCGTTTGTGTCAGCGCATTGAGGACAGCGTATATGCAACAGCTGAATTCGTTGTGCTGTTCGGGGGCGCTGAGGGCATATTCGATGCGAAGGTGTGTCTGAGACCGATCTGGTAGTCTCTTGTAGAATGCGCACAGCCTCTCCTCCCACGACGAGTCTCGGGACGAGGGTATCGAATCGAATATCGTGGCCTTGTGTATGGCAGGCGATAGGATTGCGACGACCCAGTGGGTGTCGTTGCTCATTGGTATCACCATTGGCGGTGGATCTTTGGTGCCGGCAGAATCGCATAGGCGATATCTGGCGTGAGCGGTAGGCAGAGATGCTGAGGAGTTCACGACATGAAATTCTGGAGGAACCAGTGCGGCCAAGAGGAAGTCAACAGCATCGGCTTTGGCCCAAGACTGGGGCGCTGAAAATGCAGTAGCACTCTCTTCCGAAAGCGAGTCCAGGATGCGGCGCCACGCAGGTCCGCCGGGCGGCAGAGCCTGCGCAGGCACCTGCGTCTGTGTCGCCACCAACGAGAAGGGCACCGTCGCATCGTGAGACGACTCATCGTCCATGGCGATTTCGGACTCTGCCTCCTCTTCTTGAACTTCGATCGGCGGGCTGAGACGCGGCAGCTTGGACCGTGGCGGCAGGGTGGGCGTCCCTGTGTCAAACTCGTCGTGTGTTCGCTTTCGGCTGATGTTCGAAGATGGAGGAGAGCGTTCGAGCGCTGGAAAGTGGTCGGGCGATGGCACGCTGCTGAGGGAGGGTTGGCGCCGCCGCCCTGTCTCTATCGGCGGAGAATCGGCTTGGCTCTGCTCATTCTCGTTCCATTCCTCACCTGGCCCCCATTCTTGGCCGTCGGCGTCATAGCCATCATCAATATCTGCTCTCGTATCATGCCACAGGCGCGAGCCTGCGGCCGACGCATTGTCCTGCTCAAGCTCCAACTCCATCTCATCCAGCCTGTCTCTACCTCCCGTGCCTTGTCCACTTGCGCGCTCGCTCTGTGACTCATCCTGCTCAGGCTCATGCTCAGGCTCATGCTCGCGCGCAGGCTGGTGTTGGGTTCCTTCTCGCTCGCCGTCATGTTCATCTTTGTGCGCAATCTGCGGCTCCTCTTCTTCCTGCCCGACGTGACGCTCGCCATCCTGTGCGTCTTCGTCTCGTCGTCCAGATAATGCACCATGCCCATTGCCATGCACTTCGGGCTGTTCTTCCCCTTGCTGCTCATCGTGTATGTCGTGGGCTGGCAAAGCCTTGAGGGCGTTCCGCGCATCGGCAGCCACGAACCTGAGCGCCGGTGTCCGGTCCTTCTCCGCTCGTCGCTTGGAGTGCTGGTCGTGGGCCTTGCGACGCTGCTCGGCGCAGTCGACGAGGGCGGCCACGAACTGGTCCAGGTCGCATCGCGCTTTGTCGGCCGCCAGCAGCGCCTCCGCCAGATCCCGCGTGAGGCCTCCGCGGCCGGTGTGGAAGAGCCCGACGACGTCCGCAAGGCCCAGAGCCCATGCGCCATTCCGTCTCTTCATCTCGCTCTTCGCGGCGGGGTCGCGGCAGAGCGCGCGCACCATGTTGGCGGTGCCGGAGCTCAGCTGGTGCTCGGCGAGCGCCCAGATCGAGAGCTGCAGGCTCTTGGGGAGGTAGTGCTCGATCCGTCCCAGCGGTAAGAGGCCATGTCGGTCGACGAAGTGTTGGTACAGCTCGTAGTATCGTGGGAGGACGTCGCCGCTCTCTTGCTCCAGCTGTGCGAATTGTCGTTGGATGTCGCGGTCAATGGGTAGCGTCGGCTCCGCGGCCATGATCAGACAGCGCGAACGGTCGACACAGCGACCTTGGGCGTAGAGGTGATTTGTGCATGAGTGCAGGGCGAGAGGATTGCGATGTGGGAGAGTGGAAGAGTGGAAGAGAGGAAGTTCAGGGAAGCGCGTTGGCAAAATGCGGGGAGAGCAGCAGATCCCGCGAAATTGCAGCAGATCCCGTACTATATTATGCCGGAAATGGTGCATGACGTCAGTTCGGACTTCGCCGCCCACGCCGAGTTTAGCTGATTGAATTCATTCACCTGGCTAATACAACACATTCTACACAGTCTTTCGAAGATGAGCGTTGCGATTGGTCTTGAGCGTGGAACAGTCGATGCTCATCCAGAGCCACCTTTTCTGGCTGCCGTTTGAAGGCTTGACATTGACGGCTTAAAGATGTTTGCAGAGAAGCGCGCTTGCTCTTCGCCGAAGCTGATAGAGTCGCTGCTAATGGAACAGCGAAAACAGGAGGTCCAAAGCGATCGCCCAGACAGCAGCTTGAAGGTGATGATCTGATGGTGATGCAGGCTGGGCAAGTGGAACGACGGCAACAGCGGTACAGCAACACATACCCATGATGTTGCTCGACCGACAAAGTTCATTCTCAGCAGTCTCGATGGGCCGGCTTTTACACTTATTCCCTCGTACCCAAGCTTGGAAACGTCGAAGTTCTCCATGTTTAAGACATGGACAAGATCCTTGAGAAGCGATCTGACGACCAGGGACTGGGCTTCTCCAGGATCGCAGGTGCCCAAGGTCCGGGTTGGACGGTCGTCACTACACGCAGTCGTTGCAAGTCGCTCAGCATGCGATGCCATCACGCTAAACACGTTCTCTGTGTTCTCGATTGGATCTTGCATGATTCTGACTATGCCCTCGATCGTTTGTGGTGCTTGGTGTGAGTGCGGATCGTATTCAGCGTGACTTCTGGCCTGGGTGGCATTGCTTGAAGCTTCCGTGGTCGGTGTCTGCTGCGCTTTCGAGAAGGTGGGTTCAAATTGTAATCCTCGTACGCTCGGATAGCCCAAGATGCTAACGAGCTTGCGTCTTCAGAACATTGGAGGCTGATAGAACGAGCGATGACATGGGTAGCAGCAGGACGGTTGGAGTTGCGACCATATCTGCTGCCATCCAAGCATTGCCGATGAAGGAGGCTATTTCCAACAATGCTCAAAGCTCCCTCGTCGGCCTGCAAATTACAGTGACTAAACTTTGGGATTGTAGCCGTGGTGGGGTGCTTGGTAGGAGGGAGATCGATGTCTGGTCCCGATCTCCAAGGTAGTAGGCCTGGACTTGTGCGTGTCTCGTGCTGCGCGGGATGACGTTGACCAAATTGGGAAGTCAGGAGCCGACTTTGAATTTCCGCCGAGATCATCTGCTAGCTCTACCCGCGCGCTAGAATCGGCGCTAGCCAACGTCACCTCATGCCCATCGTCCCCTCCGGTGAAGACAAGAACGTTTAACTACCAAGGTATCGACTCATCGTGTGAGGAACAAGGGTGCTCGTAAGACACTATTACCAAAGCCGTGTGAAGAAGGGTCATTCATCGTTGCAGGAGCACCCGACTAGCACGTGAAACTTGGCGCCGACATCTTCGTACCCCTAAAGCCCGTCATAGAATTGCTACGATGGAAACCACAGGTACGCAAGTTATAGTAGTCTCATTTACGTTCTAGAGATCCTACGTATGTCGCCACCTGACACCGACTGCCAGACAATCCCTTCAAATCCCTCCGTTCAGCGCTTAATGAAGACGGATCAAACGTCGACAGATCTCTGCAGCTGTTGTGAGAGTACGTAGATGTGCCTCTTGGTCGAAGCTATAGACACTCACGAGGATGCTCTACAAGACTGGATTCAATCTCTCCATTCAAGCAATCTACTGACAGCGATTGCACGAGCCGCGCACGCCCATCGAAGCCGAAGAACAGCCGAAGAGAATCTAGTAGTATCGTTTTCATGGACAGTACGATCCGAGCGGCCGGCGATATGGTGTGAGACTGCTGGAGATAAGTACTGCGAAAGCTTGTAGCAGGTTGACTAAGATCTAGGATCGCTTGTGACGAAACAGAGCTTTCTAGAGAAATGCTCACAGGCTCCTCAGCTCTATATATGCGGTCCTTTTCAGTAATCAGACTTCACGATGTAATAACCAGAATCTCGATTAAGTTGAGAAAGCTGCAGCGAGAGCTCATACTCATCTCCAGATAAGTTTCTCACCTATGTGCTACCCGGAACGACAATCCTAGCTACTACAATAACGTTACCACACATCATTCAGAGTACAGAAGTTTAACAAGGTTCGACAACGTAGAACAAGTAGCAGAGCCTATAACGCTGTTTTAGGAGTCGGGGAAATCAGGCTTCATCCCTCACTCGATTGCATTCGACCTCTGGAAGCAACAGCATAGCGAAAGCTTGAGAAGATGAATGATCGATGAGGAACCAGCTGGGACTCGATCTTGATTTAAACAACGCTTTCCGGAAATGCCCGTACAGAGATTCACGGACCATGTACTAAGTATCCGTGGGCCACGGCTGCCTGGAGAATAGTAACCGCGGAACGAATCCGAATAATGATGTTAAAGAAGCATGAAAGAAGGAATAGATGATGTGGGCAAATTCAGTCGGGGACTGGGCGGCTACAGGCTTATGGCGTGTACGACGCGCTGGAGAAGAAATGTTTAGAACGATGCAAAGGTAGACGGACAAATGGATGCTTTAGAGATGGACAGTGGGGAGACTTGTGCTGAGGATTATGTTACCCGCCCTCTTTCTATCGAAACGAGAACGCTCAAGACCAGGAGAGAACTGGGATAGAGCATGGGATAGAGCATGTACCTTGCTCTTAGGGAACAACGAAGGAGGACTGGCCGACCAATAACGCATCCTCTGCTTGGAAGAACCAGACATATCCTCGACAAGATGCCGCTGCGCAAGCTCGCACCCTCTCTATCGAGTTCCTGCTGGATAGCTGTATTCATTTCGGCGCGGTCTCGCATCTTCCTCCACATGTCGATGTACCTCTCGCGAGTACTCTCGATAGTACGATTTCTGATTCACCTTATTTCGAAGTTTTTGGGGGTTTGACTCCAATGGTATTGTTGTTGAAGTTAGGAGAGGTCAAGAGATGTTGTCTTTCTCTAAGGATGGAAACGGACTCCGCATTGGATTTGTTCTGGGCTGCCTTGTGGACATAGTTGAGCTTGGTTTCAGCCTTGTGGTGGTCTTCGGCTGCTTGTTCTGTCTGTTGTACGACACAGTCGCCTGCAATGTTAATGATCACTCGGCTCGGTCACTCAAGCTGATTGCCACAGGTTGGCGAGCGTACTCAATTGCCTCTCAAACTCGCTATGATATGCGCATGACTTCCTCCACCGCCTCGCTCCTACCCATGAGTGCCGTGATGCATCTCTTACTTCGATACTCCTCTCATGTCGTCGTAGCAGGAGCTTGGCTTTCTGTTTGTTACCCGTGTTTCGGGGGCGTCACTGGTGTTCGTAGCGATAGCGAGATCCATGGAGTGACCACTTCCAGCCTCGCCCTGTTGCTGCCAGGCTCGTGAAAGTCGTTGGTGGCAGATTCGGGGGATATGCACCTTGACCAGGGGTTGCACAGCACTCCGTATGGTCGGGGATTTCCAATGGATTCTTCTGGCACAGAGATGAGCGTTGAAGATGCCAACTCTGGCCAGTGGGAGGAATTTCCAGACCACACCAGACTCAAGGCAATCGAGAAGATCGCTCATCTCTTGATGATATGGTCACTTGAAACACCCTCGCCCTCGTTGTCGCAAATGCTGGCCACCTTCGCCCTGTCCATGATGTCGACGCATCACTGATTTGTGCTGGTGAAAACCAAAGAACGACGAAAATAGAGTCGATGTTGATCAACGTCAAAGCCGCGGCAGAGGATAGGTCCTTCGCCAGCTTTGAGTCCGATATTACAGCTTAGAATATCGAAACGTCTGGCACAGAGGCAAGGATGCTCTGTGGGTGAGTTATATGAAATCTTGTAGAACGTCTGGTACGGTTTCTGTTAGGATCTGGTCTTGGTAACATGACAAGACAGACGAAGAGCCTAGTTGGCATAGAAATGATCACGGAGCGACAGTAAGTCAAGACAAGACCGTACGATCAAGCAACATCATGGCTGAAGTCAAAGGCGGACTTCAAAGGTAGTAAGGTTCTTACTCTCTGGTAGCCTCAGTACAACAAAACCTCAAATGCTTACCCGAAGCAGTGGAACAACAACGATCCATCGTCTTAAGAACCTGTTCCACTCGCCCAGGAATGAGTTCGATACTTCGGGCCCACATCAGCGCTTTGCAGTTAACGAGTCGTTTGAAAAGTCCATTCCAGATCTTAATGTTGCCCCGAATCCGGATGCGGTTTCCAAGATGTCCAGAATTTTCAATAGTCACTGTGAAACGTATTATGCTCCGATTAGTATATGATTGTGCATCAAGTATACTTAGGTTGTAGAATCCTCTTTCGTCTATAAAGCACAGTTTTCGAGCTTGTGAGTAGAAGAACGACGTCCTGACAGCGAGTATAGAGATCTCAAGAACCCTATCGAGTCTAAGGTGGCCGTAAGTAGGCTGTTAGTCTAGTAAAAGGGGATCTATCTCTTTGGAGCAAGGAGACGGGTGGTCTGGAGTGCACTTGCGAAGTCCGATAATTAAACCTTCGTAGGTACAGCCTTGAGTTTGGTCCTTCTCGGTCACTATTTCGATAGCACCGTCGAGGGTACTAGGCTGAGACTTCTCCAGGGATTGAGGAGAGATCAGACAGACGCAGAAATTGTTATACCAGATCCAGAAGCATATGTAGCGGGCTCCATCTCTATTCGATCGTTCGTTGTTAAAGGAGCCTCCAGTCCGTGTGTGGTGCCGAGGCGACTTATTTGTGGAAAGACGATTCTTTCAAAAGTACTATTTAGAAAGAGAAGTTGCGAAAGGAGCTGCAAATCCTATCTGAGCTAGCCTCTCATATGATCGGTACAGCTACTCCGAAGCGTTGTATCTTCAGCATTGATGGGGATTGTTAAAGGTACCACGGAAGTTTAACGAAGTGCAGGGGCGGCTTTCTTTTAGGCCCGCCCATAGCCTTGCTCGAGGGCGCCAAGCGACAATATCTCACAGTGTTAGCATACTCCCATCTTCTGCGGTCTACGATTTCTGTCTCGAGCTCTCACGAAGTATGTCTTTTACTCTTGTGGTACTGAGTTTGAGGAGGCTTTTACCCTCCTCGACCTTTCCTCGCTTAAGATCTGGACTCGGATACTACGGTACACTTGGAGAATCCGTCAGCAGCTCAGAATCGTAGAGTCCTTTAGCATGGCGGACGAGCCGGTTATAGTCGAATCAATCAAGTAAAGCGATCCATGGTGGTCTTAAGACGAACTGCACAGTCTCCGAGGTACAATAGTCAGACGAGACTCCCGACAAGACATTATCACTCGCGGCATGGTTGCATGAACACTCGGGCAGTTGGAGTATATCTGGGCAGTTGGGAGTAAGACTCTGCATGGACAAGCTCTTGTTGTCGATCGTGGGCATGTTGAAGGGCTTGCTGTGGCCCGAGCGATGAATATGCCAAGAATTTGTACAGCTCAAAAGCATAGAACGAAGACTTCGCCGAGATGAGCTTTGTAGCCGACGACTAGGAGCTTCTAATAAGACAGGCCAGCAGGTACTGCACTCTGGATGAAAGAGGGAGTACGGAAGAGAAGCTCAAGAACTGGAGCGAGCAAAAAAAGGGTTCATACGAGCAGCCTTGGGGTTTGGAGAGACAGGCTACGACAATTGAGCTCCCACGGAAGTGTAATTTAAATCCGACAACGATCGCTGGAGAATCCTGTAGAACCAGCTATCAGAACGGGGTTCGGCATGTTGAAAATTGTCTAGTGGAAGAGGAGAGACCGGAAGTACTGTCGAAGCTCAACGCCAGGTCCATTGCAATACTACCTCTAGTACCTCGAATGCCTAGTTCTCTCGTCTTCTTCTCCTCCTGAGTCGCCGAATATGACCTTACCGCAGATGCTTTTGGTGAAAGCTGTTAACCCGTTCGTACATCGTTACTGACGTAGTGACGGGCAGAAGTACCAGCATATCATTCATGCGAGCGTTGTCGCGGGAAAGAGATAATACTGCAAATGCTCCTTGGCGATAGTCGTGCTCTCCAAGCGATACTGTTGTGCTTATCTCTCCTAGCTTCTCGTCTGAATTCTCTATAGCCGGATCCCCTAGTTATCTCGACTCATGCGAAGGGTAACACTGCGCAATGCTTCATAGACCCGTTACAGGATCGAAGGTGTCTGTGGGTGGGTGGATTGTTCGGAGGAGTCGGATACTCTGCTCCGCTGTCGAGGTGGACTCGAACCAGACACCACCGCATTCAATGCCTGTTGTGTGCACTCCCCTCCGGAACTTGAAGAAACGAGCAGTCCTTGCTCCGGATACGCAGCTGGATGCTGCTCCGACTGTACCAGCTGTCGATGCTTAGCAAGTATGACGAAGAAGAAGTGTTTGCTGGAGGTGAGTTTTGCGGGTTTTAGGAGCTGTTGAAGGATAGGCTGTAGGAGGGAGATCGTGAGGAGGGAGATTGTGGGGAGGGAGATCGTGGGGAGGGAGAGTGTAGGGAGGGAGTTTGTGCAGAGGGGAGTCAGTAGGAGAAGACTTACTAGGAAAAGACTTGGTAGGAGGGATGTCGGTAATAGGAGAGTCACTACGAAGAGAGTTGATCGGAGGGGCAGATGGATGGAAGAGAATCATGAAAACGGTCCTTAGCAAAGAGTCCATGGGAGAAGAGTTGTAAGGAGAATCGTGAGGGGAGTCGTGAGAAGAGTCGGTGGGAGGAGATTCGGTGAGGAAAGAGTTAGTAGGAGGAGAGGGTTTGGGAGGAGAGGGTTTGGGAGGAGAGGGTTTGGGAGGAGAGGGTTTGGGAG